AGGGCTCTTCTGCTTGCGAGGATGGTGCTCATTTGGCGACATGCTCGGCGTTTAGCGGGCTGTAGCTCCTTGGCGTTGTAAGGTTGCGGAAGTTCTTCTGTGTTGTCTGCCTTTCGTATTCTGGGGGGGTCGAGATTGTTGACGGTGTATGGCTGGGGATTTTCCTCGTAGCCGTATCGATCGTCGGCCATGATGAGATGATAGGAAGGATTCGAGCGAGATTTTTAGTAATGGAAGGGTTGGATTGACGCGAAAGGAGAGGTCAAAGTCTTGTTCGTGACGATGGTTTTTGAGTGAATAGTCAGGATAGGTATGAGGTAGGTAGGAAGTAGTTACGAAGAAGGGTCGAGGTCGAGCTCTGTCACTAGCTTCAAACGGACAAGGCAGGGATGAAGAAAGTCAGATCCACTGCACGATATGCTGTAAAGGTGCACCGTAGAATTCCGCCTTTGAACTACGGCAGGCACACATACTACACTAATGGGCAAGTACGTGTTGCGCTGGAGCCTCACACACCTTACAGCAGGACCAGGGCAGCTGGCCAATCACATCACCCCAACACTCACATCGGCACCTTGCACCTTCGAAGTGTATCTGTGACGATCGAAAGCTCCAAAGCTGCAATCATCAACTCCAACTTCAAACCCGCCAACGTCACCCTCCTCACCCCACGACCATCTCCGTCCCAGCTCTTGTTGCCATTACTTTGCGATCAACACATCTGCATCAGAGAACTCGTCACATCCGCCACTATGGGTTCCGAACCGCAGTACGCAAAGTGGCCGCTCCTCCCTCTCTCCCAGCATGTCTTCACCCTCACCAACCCCTACGCCTCCAAGTCAGTCCAGCAGGCCGCTGTCAAGGTCCTCCAAGATGCCATCGCCGAGCACAAGATGGCGCCCTTCTACCGATTCCTCGCACACCCGCTCGAGGGCATCCTCAACACTGTCGGCGAGGGGTCAAGCCAGTCCGTTCCTGGCAAGCCCCCCAGCCGCAAGTCCAGTCTCGTCGGCATGATCGCCACAAAGAGCCAGACCACCATCAACCTGCCATGGGATGAAGATTTGTACAAGCAGTTGAAATCAGAGAACGACGCCGAGCTCGAGGGCATTCAGAAAGAGGAGGACGAGGCGGTGGAGCAGGCTGGCGACACCGAGGTCCAGGCCGCGCGAGGAAAGAGGGCTGAATTCTGGGCGCGGGTTGGCGACAAGGTGGGTGCCTGCACCATTCGGATTGCGAGGTTGGCGTTGCGAGCGAGCTAACATGCGTGGCACAGGACCGCGCCATCACGGCATACGAAGATGTCTTTGAGAAGACGGGCATCCTCGGCACCAAAATCGATCTCGTCTCGCCATTGTCCGCATGGGCCTCTTCTACGGTGACAAGCTCCTGACGAAGAAGCACGTCGAGCGTGCCAAGGGCGCTCGTCGAGTCGGGCGGTGACTGGGACCGTCGCAACCGTCTCAGGGGCTACGAAAGGCTCCACCTCCTGACGATCCGCTCGTAAGGCTGC